GTCACACTTAAGTTTTTCTCACCCTGTAGTAGTCTGTTCTTGCACTGCTCTAAAGAACTACCTAAGACTGGGTAATTTATAAAGAAAAGAGGTTCAGTTCGTTCACAGTCCCACAGTCTGTACAGGAAGCGTGACTGGGGAGACCTCAGGAAACGTATAATCACGGTGGAAGGTGAAGAGGAAGGAGTCACCCCTTACATGGCTGGAGCAGGAAGAAGAGAGAGAGAAGAGAGGTACACACTTTTAAACAACCAGATCTCATGAGAACTCGCTCACTATCACCTGCCACGAGGCCCCTCCTCCAACATTGGGGATTACAATTTGACATGAGATTTGGGTGGGGACACAAATCCAAACCATATCCTATCCCCATGTCCTATCCATCAGCAAACCCTGTTATCTTCATCTTCAAATTATAACCAGAATCCTACTTTTCACCACTTGCTGCCACTCTGGTCCAAGCAACTGTCAGCTCCCACCTGGATTATTGCCAAGGGGCTCTCCTTGCTCCAGCCCTTGCCACATTTCAATCTATTCTCAATACAGCAGTCAAAGAGATCCCATTAAAACAATGATTCAGGTGTTCACTCAATAAACACACATATTACTACTCATAAAGCACTTTTCTAAATTCCTAAATATTAGTTGATTTAATCCTTAGAACAATTTTACAGATGACAAAACTAAGGCACTTGCTCAAGGTCACCTGCTTAGGAAGTAGCAGTGCCAGCAGTCAAACTAGAGGAGTCTGGCTCTACGGTCATACTGCTCAATACTATGTAATACCTCCCTCTTGCTCAAAACTCTTCAATGCAATAGATGTCCACTTATTAGAATTACCTGGGAGTTTTAAAAATTGCTGATGCCTAGGTTAAAACACCACCTCCCCCACCAGCACTGACCAATTAAATCAGAAACTGGGATGGAATCCAGGCATCAGTACTTTTTTTTTTTTTTTTTTTGAGACGGAGTTTCGCTCTTGTTACCCAGGCTGGAGTGCAATGGCGATCTCGGCTCACCACAACCTCCGCCTCCTGGGTTCAGGCAATTCTCCTGCCTCAGCCTCCTGAGTAGCTGGGATTACAGGCATGTGCCACCGTGCCCAGCTAATTTTTTGTATTTTTAGTAGAGACAGGGTTTCACCACATTGACCTGGATGGTCTTGATCTCTTGACCTCGTGATCCACCCACCTCGGCCTCCCAAAGTGCTGAGATTACAGGCGTGAGCCATCGCGCCCGGCCCCATCAGTACTTTTTTAAAACTTCCCCAACAATTCTAATGTTCAGCCAAGGCTGACAACCATTGTTTCAATAGGATCTCATTCAAAGTAAAAACCTAAAAACCAAAGCCCTTATAAAGACCTCTAGGTCTGCCCTTACCCTATCCCAATACCCACCTCCTCATTCATTTGCCTGCTGAACTCACCAGACAAGATTCCCACACAGGGACTTTTAACTCAGTTACTTTCTCTGTGAACACTTCCTTTAAGATCTTATCTAAAACTGCAAATACTCCAAACTGTTCTGCCACTTCTACCTCCACTCCCTATGTTATTCTTCTCCTTAGCATTTACTAACATTTAACAAATGATATGATACAGTTTACTCATTTACCTGTTTCTTGTCTGTTTCCCCACACTATAATGCAGGCTCTATGACAGCAGGGATTTTTTGTTTTTTGTTATTTACTGTTGTTTCCTCAATGCCTAAAACAGTGGTTGCCACACAGAAGAGCCTCAGTCACTATCTGTTGAATGAAGTATTAAGTAACCCACAATCACTGCATCAAAGATTAACATTAAGTTTCCAGATAAAAAGTTGTTTCTTCCTCATCAGACAAGAATCATTTACCAGATTTAACTGGTTTATTTAGATAATGGAAGGAAAAGGTTCAAACACTGTATTTTCATTTGAATTTATATCCTTAGTAAAAATTACATGACACAGTTATATTATTAACATGCTCTCCCCATCCAAATTTCTCCTTCAGCTTTACTCATACTCTAAGATAGAGTTAGATCTTACAAATCAGTCATAAATTAACATAATCACAGTTAACACTTCATCAGTCAGGAACCAGGAAGTCAGCCAAAAAATAAAGCAAAACACAGAAACATCCTGAGTGATATAAGAAAAAGCTAAGAAAAATTGAATTCTGCACAGTGAGATCTCATCAGGCCCATAGGCCCATAGGACTTCATTATTATTTGTTAAAACATGTCGAGTATGACTACTCCTATTGCCCCACAATCACTGATAAACACAAAGCTGAGGATATATAGACATCAACGATCAAATATGTGTAGACTCAGGCATGGCTCTGACACCCTAATCAGCACTATCCTTCCACTATCTACAAGCGGTTCACAGAGGAAAAAGAACTAGAAGTCTTCCAAGTCTTCAGGGAGAACACAGGGAAAGGAAGAAGGTCTTCACCCAAAACAATGGCAGGGGCCTCCAACAGAAATCACCACGAAGATCAGAAGGGCCCAGAAGAGACTTGCATCCATTCTCCAGCTCCACATCTGCTTATGCAGCAGACAGAGTGACTGACCCTGCATGTCTACTTGAAAAGGGGGACAAAGAGAACTGATGAGAAATGGCGGGGCTCGGAAAGAAGGCAGACTTAAGTGGTCTGTATGCCACTATTTGGCATCACGAGGAAGTGAGTTTCCAGTGGGTTGAATGCAAACCATAGAGTACTTGGACTGGAGTTGTTTTGCCATTATCAAAATATCTGACTGCAAAGAGAAAAGATCTCCACCAGGATGCACGCACATTCACATAACCAGTAGGTAGACTGACAGGATAGGAGCAAGCAGATGGGTGTGTAGGTTGGAAAAGGTTTAGTTACAGAAAATTTCATATCCAGAAACTGTGCAGCAGGAGTCTCCCTGAAAGATCTCACCAAAATGCCAGCTTGGTTGCCTATCACTGGACTGCAATGGCCTACCACTGTTAATCAAGTGAGCACGAGATAACAAACACTTGTCTTTTTCCACTTCTCTCCTTGACAAGTTAGTATCCAAGAAGATCCCTCAAGAGTAAAAGGAAAGAGGTATCCCAGGAGCTTACCACAAGCCCTCCGGACCCCAAGGGCTTCAGGAAGTAAGTGGCCTGACCATGCAGAAGGAAAAAAAGCCTTTAGATTGAATATGAGATTAAAAGTTCAAACTGGAATACACTGGAGTAGTTTTGTTTTGTTTTGTTTGTTTTTGAGACAGGGTCTCACTCTCCTGTCACCCAGGCTGGAGTGCTGCAGCACAATCTCTGTTCACTGCAATCTCTGCCTCCCAGGCTCAAGGGATCCTCTCACAACAGTATCCCAACTAGCTGGGACTACAAGCACGTGCCACCACGCTCAGCTGATTTTTCTATTTTTTGCAGAGACAAGGTTTTGTCATGTTGCCCAGGCTGGTCTCAAACTCCTGGGCTCAAGCCATCCTCCTACCTTTGCTCTCTGAAGTGCTGGAATTACAGGTGTGAGCCACTGAGCCCAGGACAGAGCTTTTTGATAACTAAATGATAGAAAAGCTATCATTTACCATGTTATGGAGGATGGGGGACAGCAGGGTGCGAGATAAAGAGCCTACAAAATATAGTTAAAGGCAGTGAATGGGGAAAAACAAAACTCATGTTTGTTTTCAGTAAGCTCGGACTGCTGAATAACCTGATGACATACACAAGAGCATTTTCACCCTAATAATGGGATGGAACACCTGACATGGAAGTTCTCATGAGGGATTTACTGTACTGGGTAAGATGCTACATTCGAAGCCTTCCGAGATCACTTCCAATTCTAATGCCTGTGATTGTCTTTTCCTTCAAGAGGTTAAACTGAATCCTGAATCCAGAATCTAGAGTTCAATGGTTAAACTATAAAAGGCTAGGCTGCCTAAAGGGCTAAAACCCAAATGGAGAATAAGGCTATCAGATCGACAAGTCTGATAAGAGTTCCATGTAGGAAACAATATTTTGCTTCTAAAATTTATTTAATTAAAAAAAATCCTAAATTACTAATTTTCTTTTATATTCAACAAAAATCCCAGTTCAAAGAAAGCTTGTAAAATCCTCCAAATCCCATCTTCCTGAATAAGATCAATTTGACTAATTAAAAGTTCTACTAAAATAAATAGCAAACATATGTTGGCTTAAGCATCTTCTAGGAATAGCAAACTCACATATCCGTTATTAGACAGTATCCACAAGGAAAAAAGTTACTTACGGTCAAATGGTTAAATATTGCTCATTAAGTGGAAGAGAGTTCCAGTGCTATAACAAATAACATGCTTCATGTTTACATAAAAACATCCCAGATTTTTATGTTTCTAAAAACAATTAAGCATTACAGACAATCATCTAAAGCTTTCAAGTTTCTGCCTTTTCTGAAAGCCTTCCTTTTGGATACTGTGTTGATAAACTCTTAAATGCTGTGTATGTACTCACAAATGGTCAAAAAACCTAAAACCAAATCTTAATATTTATCTCCTACTGAAGTCATTTTATTATATCACTGAAAATCTAAAAGAGGATTTTTTAATCTTGAAAATTAAATTTTAATATTACCAAAAGTAAATTGCTCCAGTATGAGGAAAAAGTAATTATATGTATATTACCTCAGCTCACAGTTGGAATCAAATAGGAAATACTTTAAGGCAGTTAGTACCATCAGACTGAAAATTTTCTAATAAAAGCAGTGTTATTATTGTTACAATTACTACACTATATTCAGAAAACTATCTTCCCTACTCTCAAGTTACTGAAACAAGAATGACGACTTGACATCAAGCGATGTATCATTGTCAAAGTATGAGTTAAATTATGCTAATAAATTATTTCTTAAATTTCATCCTGAGTTACAAATTATCACACAATTAAAACAACTTTGGGATCTGCAGCATGACTAATAACAACAGTAAAGAACTTCCAGGCTTAAGTCAAAAAGCCACTTTTTAAAAATCTCCATTAAATATTTTGGGAAAAATGTAAAATGTTTCCACCTTTCCCAGGTATCTTCCTAGGAGTCTCCAATGTTGTTATATCCCATAGGTTAGCAACCAATACTTGACTATTGGCCACAATGACTTTTTAAAGAAAAAAAATCCATCACTATTCTTAACATCCTTAAACACTTCTAAAAAAGTCCTTCCTGCTTATGAACTCATGGCAGTTTCCTCACAATTGTATACTTATCCTGTTTCACTGTCTCTCCTAGTCTATGACAAACTCAAATTTACACACCAACTTTCCTATGTGGATACACTGCTAAAACTGGGGAGAAAAAAGATACAAACCTGCTACTTTCGCCCCTCCCAAAGCAACAATGAAAATACTCATTAAGATAAAGATTGGAAGGTTAGCGTGCACGCGGTGTGTATGTACACATATATATTTATATAATACATATGTTTTCTTAATGTCACACAAGTTATCCATTGGTGGATAAATTCACAACTATCTACCTTGATACAGGTATATGCTACAAGAGAAACCATACAGTGTAGGGTTAATGGCACTATAAAATAACTTTATTAATTCAAATTCTGTCAACCTTAAATACTCTTGTTTAAATTTATCAGTACTCTAAAATGATTTTAAAAAAATACTTTAACTCCACTGGGGGAAATATTCCTCTTGCCACAAGTGTGTCAACATGAAAAATTAAGAGCGTGAAAAATAATAGGCTTTTGGTGGGAATAAATCTTAAATTATTTTTAATATAACGGGTCTTCAAGATTGTGAAGAAAAACATAGTTTTACAAAACAATCATAGAACTCTTACCCAGACTTTGCTCTAAATGGTTTCAATGGCGTCAAATTAACATAGAAAGTGTGCTAGCTGAGTACTTGGGGAAATAAAGCAAATTGATCAGGAGTTCTAAGATAAAAGACAATGGTGTAAACTTCATAGTGCGCTATTTGTTCCAGTCATTAAACACACAGGAAATAAGTTTTTCTATTTAGAAAACTAATTCACAAGGGGCAATGACTTCATTAAGACAAAGAAAATCTTATTAAAACAGCCAGTAATCGATTGTAAAATAAGAAAACAAGTATTGCAGAATTGGAAGGTGGAACAGACTAGGAAAACACATAAACTGCCTGGATTATGTGTTCCTTGAACCTCTTCTTGCACTGCCCCCAATGAAAGCAAAGGAGTTTCATTATCCATACCCCCAGACCTCTGCTCGGGGGCACAGCCAGAGGCAGTAAACACTGTAAGCAACAAGACCGCTTTCATTATGACAGCACTTTCCCCTCTTTCCAGGAGGGTCAATAGAAAGCTTGAAACAAACCACAAACCGCTCAGGACGGCCCCAAAGCTCTGCGGTTGGCAGCTGGCCTCGGCGTCGAAAGACCTGGGTCTGGTCGCCTCTCCGGTGCCACCTGCGTGACCTTGGGCAAGTCGCTTTCAACCCTGCCTCTGGCCACCTGCCCCGAAGGTGCGAAGGTAAATCGTTGACACCACCCGACTTCAGGGCCCTAGGCGGAGCCGGCTACGGCCTCGGCGAGTCCTGAAGCCAAAACGTTTTAAACACCAGGAAAGGATGCCCGGCGCCGCACGCCCGGCGGGCACAGCCCTGGAGAGAGCCGTTCCGACCGGCACCGCCGGGAATCCCCAGGCAGCAGCGCGCACCGCGCCCCTAGCGGGATTTCTCGGGGGGGCGGAGACGCAGAGGAGCTCGTTGGCCCCGCGACCGCCGTCGGCCTCCCGCCCTCCCCGCCGGGTGCCGCCGAAGGCTGAGGGCTGAGGTCTGGAAAACAATCGCGAACCCGCGGGAAGAAGACGCCGGCCCCTCCCGCCGCCCCGAGCCCGGGCAGGTGAGCGGGCCAGGCGGCCTCCAGGTGCAGCAGCGCGCGGGGCGGAGGTTCGCGGAGGGGGCGCTGGCCCCGCACTCACCGGCGCCTCCGGCCCCTAGGCGGATGCCTCTCCGCTCGCCCCGGCGGGCGCCGCGCTCCCGAAGCCCCGCAGCCACCGCCGCCTCGCGCCCCGCCCCGGCCCCCACCCCCGCCCCAGCGCGGCTGCGTCCCTCACGCCAAACTTTACCGGGGCCTCGGCCCGGAGCACCCGCGCCGCCGCGGCCCCGGCTCCTACAGACGCCCGGCTGCCCGGAGCGGCGTCCACGACGGTCCGCCCGCGCACTGCGCACGCGTCTCCCCGCCGCCTCAGCCCCCAGACGGCGGCTGTGATTCCGGAGCCGGCGCTCCCAGCTCGCAGAAACTACGAATCCCGGCAGGCCCCGCGCCGGTCCGGGCGGCGTGGCGGGCCGGGTGTTGGGCGTCTTCCTAGTTCCAGGGGCGGAGGCCTCGGCGCGCCGGAGAGGGCTGCGTGAGGAGCTCTGGGCCGCCACGCCGCGGTGCTTCCTGGGAATCGTAGTTTTCGAGCACCACGGGGCTTGGCTTGGAGGTGGAACTCCGGGTTCTCTGATGTCATCGCCTAGAGCTGCGAGGCACAGGGATCTTTAAAAATAGACTTCGTTAGTTTGCAGATAATTTGTTTGCAAGCTGTCCCATAATCGGTCCAAGTGGCACAAATTCACAGGCTGCGGTGTGACCTGGAGAAAAACGCTTTACAGCTCTGCGCGCCAAATTTCCGCTCTTAACCATTTCTCCCTCCCTGCAAATGTAGCTCCACCTCCTACTTACAAAGGTGTTAATAGTACAGGAGGATGGGAGAAACTTAAAGAAGGATTAGTCGAAATTCTTTTAGCAAGGGTGGAGCATAAATATGTATCGTGGTAAATATTAGTTAAATGCTGAATATATAACGTATTTCTCGAGCACTTACTGTGTTCCAACTACGTGATAGGCAACCAGGCATTTATCTGAGAGAGAGACACTGTCGCTGCCCTCATGGAGCCTGCAGCCTGCATGGGAGAAACTTCCGCAAACAAGCAAAATCGTTACCGATTTTAATAGAATAGCCAGACTGAGAAAGTTCAAGAGACAGTAGCAGTGGGGTGGGGGAGGTTCTCAGAGAGGGTGACAAGGAAAGTTCTCTGAGGATGTGATATTTGAGCTGAAACCTGAAGAATGAGTAATATTCAGACATGCAAAGAACTGGGAAAGAATTACATGCCACGCCTTTCACAGTGCATGCCACTCTAGGCTCTTAACAAATATTTGTTCTTTTTGTGTGCTTCTTCCTTTCCTCTCTCTGCACAACCTTAGGTCACATCCTATCCCCTTCAAACCCTTTAAAAAATCTTTAGCAACGTCTTTCAGAATATCCTTCCTATGTGAAGATGTACATGAAACAAATGTCCAGTGGTAAGATGAGCTGTACAGCTGCTAGGACAGAAGACACAAGCCTGGTGACAGGCTGGAATCTGACTACTTAGCCACTTCTTTATTTGAGAACTGGGTTAGAAGTCTGGGCGCTCAGCCTGCTGACTTGTTTTCTGTTTATGGGGCATCATGCAGGATTTTGAGTTTGTCTCTATTAAAATCTTACAGGGAGCTTACCTATTATCGGAATCAGAGGTGTGATGAAGAACGGTGCTAGATTTTCCTGTATAGACTTACCTATGTGACTTTATGCAGAGAGTGACACTTTGCCATTCTGACCCTCAGTGACCTCAACTGTGAATGAGTGTCCTCCACCCTGCCTGCCTTACAGAATGTTCTCAGAGGCTGATAAATTGATGGAGGTGAAAACATCTTGCAAACTCAATGGAACGCTCTAGGACTGCCTCTTTCAGACTGAGCATTTTCAGTTGCATTTCATACAACGTGATTGTTCGATTATCTTTTGAGAAACCTTGGCTGTGCAGCTTTTCTGACACCTGTGTCTTTTGGGGGCCTCATCTGTGTAATGGTTGAAAGGATTTGGCCTCACTATAATTTATAAAGTAGCCAGAGCAGATTGTTTCCTTTGGTCCACATAGTGGGTTTTTGTTGATTTAACTGATTCAGTGTGTAGTTAACTTTTAAGAATGAAAATCCAGGTGTCGCCTATCTTATCCCTCTAGGCATTTGAGTTTGCATTCCCTGGCTAGCAGGTCTGGAAGGAGTCTCTAGCTTTTCAGCACTAGAATCTTAAGTGCTGTGATTACAGGTGAGCGCCTTTCACCCTCTGCAGGCTGGACCCACAGGGGATCGCTCTCCTGAATATTGTTTGACACCATTGATGAGTGGCTTAAAATTGTTCCTTTGGCCAATGTGGTGGCCCTCACCTGTAATCCCAACACTTAGGGAGGCCAAGGTGGGTCAGGAGTTTGAGACCAGCCTGGCCAACATGATGAAACCCCCTCTCTACTAAAGAAATACAAAAATTAGCCAGGCATGATGGCGGGCACCTGTAGCCCCAGCTACTCAGGAGGCTGAGTCAGGAGAATTGATTGAACCCACACAATGGAAGTTGCAGTGAGCCCAGGTTGTGCCACTGTGCTCCAGCCTAGGGGACAGAATGGGACTCAAGAAAAAAAAATTGTTCCTTTGTTCTTTTTGCATAACAAGCCCCCAGAATTGTTTGTCACTGAGAGCCATACTTACATACAATGAAGAAAGCCAGAGAAGTAACTCAGTTTTCCGAAGGACACACAAGATAATATCGGGACTGTTTTGAGGTTGCAATATAACCAGAACTTGAAGCTCCCGATCAGCCAATAAATACAGAGACAAAAAAAAAAAAAAAGCCCTCTGTTTTCCAGCCTTTTTTTGGATGCAGAGGTTTATTACATAACTGTGCTTTCAGTGTTATTATAAAAAAAAAAATGTAGGGGGAAACTACAGTCTGGGAGCAAACCAAGAACACTCAGGACCCACTAAAGACACTAAGGAATGCTGGAATATTCCATGGCTACTTTTCATCTGAAGAAAAAGGAGTCGGAATTCAAGGATCTGCACTTTAGCAGTTTACCTTTTTTTTTTTTTTTTTTTTAAGAGTCTCACTTTGTTGCCTGGGCTGGAGTGTAGCGGCACAATCCCAGCTCACTGCAACCTCTGCCTCCCGAATTCAAGTGATTCTCCTGCCCTGGCCTCCCAAGTAGCTGGGTTTATAGGTGCCTGCCACCATGCCAGACTAATTTTTGTATTTTTAGTAGAGTCGGGGTTTCGCCAGGTTGGCCAGGCTGGTCTCAAACTCCTGACCTCAAGTGATCCACCTGCCTCGGCCTCCCAAAGTTCTGGGATTACAGGCGTGAGCCACTGTGCCCGGCCTGCATTTTACCTTTAAAGCATCACTGTCATCATTATCATCGTGCTTTCACATGTGAAATATTTTGATGTTTCATTCAAAAATAGCTCTTGAGCCCCTTCTATTTGCTTAGTGCTGGGCTCTGGAGGCTCCAGACAGATATCAGCCCCTTAGACAACACAAAGAGCAGTGTACAGAGGCACACAGAAGGTTCCTGAACACTGGTCGTTTCTTTAATATTTGATGCCTGCAGCATTTCCTGCATTAATTTTCCCCCCAGCAATGGTCACTTTCCTACATATTCTGTATGTGCATATTCTAGCTTTTCAACAGTAGAATCCTAGAAGATTCCAGATGGGAAATTTGAGACATGCTTGAATGTAAAATATATTCCTTGTTTATTTGAAATTCAAAGTCAAATTCACATCTTTTATTTGATCTGAAAATGCTGGTCCTGAGAATAGAACACTTAAGCCAAGAGCCTCTCACCCTCTCCAGGCTGCACCCACAGGGGATCTCTCTCCTGAATGTTGTTTGATATCATTGATGAGTGGCTTAAAATTGTTCCTTTGGCCGATGTGGTGGCTCTCACCTATAATCCCAGCACTTTGGGAGGCCAAGGTGGGTGGATCACTTGAGGTCAGGAGTTTGAGACCATCCTAGCCAACAGGGTAAAACCCCTTCTCTACTAAAAAAAAAAAAATACAAAAATTAGCCAGGCTTGATGGTGGGCATCTGTAGTCCCAGCTACTCAGGAGGCTGAGGCAGGAGAATCAATGGAAACCACATGATGGAGTTTCCATATATATATGGGATTATATCTCTATATGTAATTCCATATACTATATATAAATAATAATCCCATATTTATATATGTATGGTATTAAACACACACACACACACACACACACACACACACACACACACACACACACACAGTTTGCATATCCCCTAAACTGTAACCTCCACATGGACAGGGATTTTTATGTTTTTTTCCCACTGCATCCTTAGTGCCTAGAACAGAAGTATGCGTTGAATGATAAATGATACAGCTTCCTTGATGGACAGAGCCAGCATCAGAAGCCAAGCAGAAGAAGTACCTCCAGAAGCAAAGCTCTGTTCTAACCAGAAATCAGAAACA